GCTCGCCTTGCTATATATTTGCGGACGACGTCAAGGGTGTAGGATCAAATGAGAGAGTGGAACTGGAGAGGGTAAAGGTGAAGAGCTCAAGTGGTCAAATACATGGGATTCGCCTCTCAACATAGGAAAGAGTCATGTTTTGACCACTGGAGACGAAGGGCTGATATTGGGGGGCAGTCGTAGCGGTCTGTCTCTAGGAACGACTCAGAAAGCTAGGGCTTTAGGAGTCATAGTGACTGCAGACTACAAATGGGTGGAACAGTGTGCCGCAGCGGCGCATTGTGCCCGAGGACAGCTTTTTAGATTGAGATCGGCACTATCATGTAGGCAACCGGAGGTATTCGTACCCTTGTATAAAGCCGTTGTTTGACGGCATTTAGAGTATTGCATACAAGCCTGGGCTCCCTTCTTCAAAAAGGACGCCGCTTGTCTCGAAAGGGTCCAAAGATTAGCCACAAGGATGATCGAAGGACAACGAGGAAAGTCGTATAAACAGACTGCAGGATCTTGGACTATTCTCCTCAGAGAGAAGAAGATTCCGAGGTGACTTGATAGATACATTCAAAATTATAAATGGCCTATCAGGGACGGATCAAGCGGTGTTCTTCGAGAGAATGCAAAGCAATACTAGGGAGAATATGTAAAAGCTGGAGAAATTGCGCACGGGACTAACGGTGCGGCAACAGGGTAGTCAACGCGTGGAATAAGTTTCCACAAGAGCTGGTAGAACTAGGGAGCATATATGCTTTCAAGAAGGAGCTCGATAAGCGCTGGTTGACTGTATTTCCCGAAATAGACGCACAGGTTGAGGCCTAGAAACAGGGCGAAGCGCTAGCTGACTTTAATTCCCGAAATAGACGCATAGGTTAAGACCTAGAAACAGGGGTGGTTTTTCGTTTACTAACCACCCCCATCCGGGGAACGCTTCCGAACGTGAGNCTCTTCCCTTGCAGAGACGGAGACAACTGAGACGTGATGAAAACGTGTAGAACTGCAATAAAGAACACTCGCAGTGGTAGGGGCCGGAACGGGGCTTACTACCGGAGGAAATCTGGACGCTCGATTGGCCGTGGCCATCTCCTGTCCTGTGCAAACTGACTGACTGACTTGAATTGATGATAGAGTTGAAACACGCGCCAACTAGCACCACGTTTCAAATTGTTTTCAAATCCCATGTGCACGAAATTTTCGTCGATTATTCCATAACCAGTATGGTAGGAAGAACTTTGTATGGCATGTGGATGCAACGTTGAGGACGTAATTCTTGTATATTTGTTTGGTCGAGCCAAAAAGAACCTTTGAGGAAGCCCAAGTCATTCTCCATACGCTGATGGCGCGTTCGCAGCGCTTCCTCTGTGTCGCTCGGGTGCTCTCAGCTGCGTAGTATGTGCGTGTAAGTGCGCCGATGCCTGAAATGGCAAAATCAACCGAAAGATAATTCCCTAAGTATTTCGAAATGGAATCAGTGGTTGAGATGAAGGGTGCATAAATGAGTATTTAATAGCTTATCAAGAACTGCCCCTTCCACGCCGTCAGTTGACATAACACGCCAATCAATTCCTCCTGTCCCGTCAGGGGTCGCTTAGTTCTCTGTCGGGATTTCTAATATCGTATTTGGGGTTCCCAATGGATAAAGTAGATGGAAACGTTATTTAGGCGATCAAGAGGCCTATGTCGCAAGAATCAAGAGTTATTTTAAGAAAAGCTGCATGCCCAGGTACCTGGAAAGCTCAGATATTTAGGTCTGCCTCGATTAGCCTGGAGTCGTGCTTAACTTTCATCTCGTAGGGTAACGAAGTCACCTGGTTATAACCGCTCGGTGCTGCATACTACGCGCGAATTCCGTGTTCCTTCGATCAGTTGAGTTCACTGGAGTTTTCTGTTTTGCGAAGAATGCCTTCGCTGTTTCATTTCTCAGCCGTGACGCTTTGTCATCATAAATCTTGTATCCAGCCTAACTGTTGCACCCCGTGGCTCGAGCATAAGTATTTTGTCATCTACTTATAAAGATTCATCAAAGCTGGTCCCTTTTCTCAGTAGTATGGTCACCGGTCAAGTGCTAAGCTGCAATACTAAAGTGAGGAAAAGACCTACACAGAGTGTGTGCATTTACAAATGTGCACTGCTGTCCGTTATTTGTTGGGATAGTTTTTGATTGTTTAAGCTAGTCCCCATTGCGCAAACAAGAATATGGTTCGTGAATCCCTTACCTTAGTTTCATGACAACTTAGGCGAGTGTTAAGAGTAGCGTTGGTTAAGCTCATAATTGTAATGTGAAACACAAAGTGGTCGATTATTCTTACTGTTCCGTACATCTTGTGGTGCACCACGTAGAGACGATTGGTCTTTAATGCTTCTGAGATGGGGGATGTCATTGCTTCCCCAATCTTAAAAAGAGTTTATGGATTCAATTTTCTAGGGTTTTCTTCATTTCCACCTCGCGCTTACCGCCCTGTTTTGCTTTTTGCATTAGTAACCGAAGATTCACCCTGTAGAGACCTTTGGTTCCAAACCAAAGTATCACCTGTACTTGCGGAGTTGGACGTTATCAGTCAGTTGCTGTTTACATTCTAGTTTATAATGTGATGGCTGTGTCCTAATCTGTTTCCCCCGTTTTTGTAATTTAGTGATATGGACCCAGTCTCTATTTTCGAGGATGCCCTTAAGGGATTGGCTACCAAGGACCTGAATGACAGCGTCGCATCTACCCCGGAAAACGTCAAAAAGGAGGAGCCTAAACCTGAAACCCCTGCCCGCCGAAATCCTTTGATCACAAACTCGCCACTTTCCACCGCCCTCACTTCAGATGCGCCTCCACCGGCCGATGACGCAAACAACGATATTATTCTCAGTGCGCTTATCAAGGCGGGAATAACTCCTTCCTCCTTGAAATCAGAAACTCGCCCACATACAGTACCCCAACCAACAACGCAGACTATTGCCCAACCTGCTAATGTCAAGGTGCTTAGCGCCAAGGGTGCCACTGTTTTTAAAATTGTTCCTAGTCCGTCTAGTGGTGCTAGTTCTCCAGGTCAGCAGCAGTCGCTCAGGATGGCTAGTCAGCTAATTAGGAGGGTCACAAGTGAAAACGGTACAATAATAACTCAGAACTCCCCTCGAATGCCGAATATTATTAGAAAGAGACCACAACCATTCTCCGAAAGTCTTGGGCACCCGGCATCGAAGTTGCGAAGGACAGCGAATAGTTTTGAAATAGAACGTGCATCGACTGGAGACGCTATATATCCGAATGTCTCCAATGCCTCTACGGTACTCAACAACTGGTATGATTCGCCCAGAATTCTGCAGTCCGTTGGGCCGCTTCGAAATGCAAAGTCCGCGAACTTTCCAATGACCTATGTTAAACCGTATGTTTTAAAGGTAAGCACGCTATATATATTAGTTTATCATTGTTTTATCTCATGCNAGTTTATCATTGTTTTATCTCATGCTTGAACCATTAGCGTAAAAGTTTCAGATAAGACACGATGTAAGTGGTCATTTTGGAGAGCCCCAAAATAGGTCCTTTCCAGTTCCACCAAGAAATAGATGACGTTTGGGTTTTCATGATCAGTCGCATTCACACTTTTCGATGTCACTTTCCAGCATGTAAGAGGAGTAACTATTCGGGCTAGTTGAGAATCAAGAAGCACCTGCTTCGTCATATCCTCTCTGCAGATGCAGGTAGAGAAGCTTGGTTCACTCAGTTCACTTTTATCAGCGCCATCTCATATTCACTTAGCGCCGTACATTTTTTCATCAAACGGTCGAATGATAACCAACAGAATGGACAAACCCCATAGGTGTGAGGACCCTCTGTTCCTCTGCAATAATGAGCAACATCCGGTCGATCGCTTCCCCTTGCTGAAAAATCATTATATATCCAATAAAAGGAAGTAAAATGAAAGAACTTAAGTAACGGGTAATGAGCCACAAAACAACTACAGGAGGTGCGGTATTGAGCTAGACGACAGCAAGCCATCTGCCCCCGACGTTTAATGATGTATTATAAGTACAATAAATACTGATAATTGTGTGATGAACAGCAGACGGAGTGAATCCAATGGTCGCGAAGACCTGCTATTCTGTGATAGTTGTAGCGTTAGAACCTTTGGCCCGAAGAACAAGTTACAGCGATTTGAGCCGCTTGACTACCACCTGAACCCGGAGTGCGTGGAAAGTTACGACATTTATTTCTCCAGCATTTTTACTACCGTTTCTTGATATTTTTGGAGAATAATTGTGTCACGTTGATTTGCAGCGAGATGACGATATGGAAGAAGATGAAGATTTGGCCCAGGCTGAAACATACGCTGAATACGTGCCAATGAAACGTGAGTTACTAAGTATTTCTGACGCGCCCTTTCAATGTTCCACTATGCACTGTGGACTTTGATCTGCGCCACATTGATTTCGGCACTTCAGGACCTGTTGATATGAGCTAATCTTTCAGGTAGTTGACTGCTGAACAACAACAACGATGTTCATTTTGATTCATGTTTACGAGTTCATATCCTTTTGAAACAAGTCCTTCCCTGTTGGTGGATGATGGCTTTTGCTTCATGTGAGGTTTGGCCCGAGCGATGCATACTTATATCTTGCTTTGTGATGGCGAATCTATATAGTCACTTGCCTTAAACAGTCGAGGTGTTAACTTTGTTACAGAAACTAGAACGAGTGTAAAGTGTATGGTCGTGCAATGTTTTTGTTAGTTTCTACATCAGTGAGTGTTGCGAGTTGTTGCTTAGTTGACTAGGCCAAAGTGGATCTACTTGAAGGACCTCACCGTGATCCCTGAACGGGAGACAGCCACAATTTCATACCCAGTATCGGGTAGCCAGTCGACAGTAAACAAGAGCAGTGCACGGAAGCAAGAGGTTAATGGTTACATAAACAGACTAGAAAGAGGTTCGCTGTTGCGAGACCGCAATCCGTGTTGTTTATGGCAGTCTACTTTTAAAAGATCCACTTTAATTATTTTTAAGACAGTTTTACTGCTTGTTGTGCAGAGCAGATTCTCATATTTATCATACCGATTCACAAATGTATTACTAGTGAGTGGGTGGTGACTTCAAACGATATAGAGTCATTTGACGAGACAAACTACCCCTGTTCATCCCTATTGGTGAAGGATCAGCCTTCTATTAGGTTAAGATGGACATCCACCTTCGAATGAGTGCAAGGTGTCAGCGAAAAATAGCCATAGCAAACCGGTTTGTTGTAAAAATAACATTCCATGCAACATCCATGTTCTTTTATCTCAGCTTCCATTATGCCTAATCCTGGCAGTCGCTTTGTGATATGATGAGGTGTAATGTATCTACATGAACATCTAGCTTTTCAAAGAAAATACGCTGCAGAAGTATGTCATACCACATATTACTCATCATCTAACTGAGACAAATTACCACATCTCTACTGTCCTGCACCTGTTTTGGTTCGTCTATTAATTGCTAATCGAGATGTGACTACCGTCTTATGGACGATAGCTTCTTGCAACCACAGCTGAAAATCGAAAAATAGCGGAGGACGAAAGCAAACATTCCCATCTTTATTTACTTCTTTGTCTTCCAATCATCAATTTGCAGTACATTTCTGACCGTGACGTTCCCACAACTCGTCTGTCACTCACAAACGCCGGTTACCAAATATCGTTGAAAGTTGTTTTCCACCAAACAACGAACAAACAACATGACCCACACAGGCTGGTCAACCAGTTTGTCTTGTGCGCGAAAAGCTGCAGACGCGAGTTCAAGATCCTGATAGAATTAATCACTAGTGCGCAAGGTCCATGTCCGAGGTATTTACATCGTATATCAGACCTCAGTATGGCCTCGGGTTGTGGCTGGTCTCTTCCCTTGCACTTCGCGAAATGCACCTATAAGACCAAGCGCATTAAATACTCTTAGTTGAGGAAGCCCTACTCACTACCTTCCCGTGGCGCAGGTGTTTTCCCACCAAAGAGTCTGGGCGAAAAACCAACATCCGGGACTATGATCGGGTTGGTGAACTACTGACAGTTCGCCTAAGGGATTTGGCCAAAAACACTGATTACAGATCAATCAAGAAGAGGCTTACGTACCATAACTTTTTGATTGTGGCAGTGTTCACCGGGTCAATTGGGCATCGAGGTGTATTGGGCACCTTGGACCTCGTCCGAATTTCAGTTCAGATCAGTTCTTACAACCATTAACCGTACACTTCCGTGCGCCAGTTTTGATGGCTGTCCTTTGGTTGCCCATTGGAGTAGGACAGCAGAATGAAGATTATAATGTTGGGAGCAGATTAAGGTGGAAGATAGCGAATTAAATTATACTGATGTTACATGTATAATGAATAGATGCATGAGTGTCACCGTCCGCGACACCCAGACATCGCTCAGTGTATCTACCCATAGGTTACGATCATCCCGAGTTCCCCAGCCAGGGAGCCTAACAGGATCTATGTAACCCAGTCCCCCTGGTTAGGGTTTTCATACCCTCGTGCTAGGTCTTAGCTTGACCACCCTTGGCTTTTTTCCGCTCGGTGTCTGCTTCGGCGAACATCGCTCTTCGTGGTAACCTATTTGGTGACATGCGTAACACATATCCCAACCAACGTAATCTATGCAGGTCAATCACTTACTCTAGTGGGTGACCGCGGATACCCAAAACCCTGCGCCTAACCTTATTCATCGGGCTACCCCACCGGATTCGTGCAATGCTGCGTAGACAGCGGTGTTCAAACACAGACAGTCTGTCTTTATCCTGTTTTCTTAATGGCCAAGTTTCTGCACCGTATAGCAGAACTGGCCGAACTGTCGCGGCATACACTCGACCCTCCTCAAACAGCGACGCTGCCACAGATGTCTCAAGTTGGCAAATGCCAACCGAGCCTTCTGTATGCAAGCTGACACTTCATCCGTGATGCGTCCGCCAGGTGAGATGTAACTGCCCAGATAGCAAAATTTGTCCACTTCCTCTACTACTTCCCCAGTTGGGTTAAGACTGGGTGCTGAACCAACCCAATCTCGTAGTAGCATTTTACACTTTGAAGGTGCGAAACGCATACCGAACATGGACACACTAGCACTGAAACTATTCAGAAAAGCTTACAACTTACTTGGATCTTCACTTAGCAGCACAATGTCACCTGCTTACTCTAGATCAGACAGCCTGCCACCTGGGAGTAAATCGATGCCACTATCCTGGCACGAGGATAGGGCTGTTTCCATAATCAGATCTATAACAAAGTTGAGTAGAAGCGGAGAGAGAGGGCAGTCCTGTCGAACACCACTTTCCGTGGTGAACTCGGGCGAAAAGGTGCCGTAAGCTCGGATTCAACTTCGGCTATTATTGTAAAGGAATGGTTTTATTGAAATGAATGTTTCGGGTACACCCTTCCGGAAAGGCAACACCAGAGTTTAGAGCGGTCGACTGAGTCGAAAGCCGCTTTCAGATCTAGGAAGACAGAGATGGTGGGTCTACGAAAAGAATGCCGGTGCTCCAGAATTTGGCGCAAAGCGAAGATGTGGTCGATACAACCTCGACCGGGTTTAAAACCAGCCTGGTTTTCACGTGTGCCAGCGAGAAGTTTAGAGGCAATGTTGAATAAACTAATTCCTCTGTGGTACCTGTTGCCCTTCTTGAAAATCGGTATGATCACCGATTCACCATTCAGCTGGAACCTCTTCCCTTTCCCATATTAAACCCAGGATTTTCGTTAACTCTTAAACCAAGGCTAAACCTCCATTTTTGAAAAACGGGTGGGGACAGCTCGTTAGGGCTTTATGCCAATTGAGGTAACTTATTTTCCGGAAAACCTCCATTTCAGATGGAATACTGGTGTCAACCGGCAGTATCTGCACAGTTGAATCGGTTTGGGGGAGGGGGGCTTATGTCGAAGGGGACCAGCTGAACTGAGCCTTGAAATGTTCTACCCAGCGTTAAAGACGACGCTCCTAAATTTGAATCAGTGTTCCGTCAGACTCACTAATTACCTCAGTTACGCTCGTTTTCCTTAGTCCTGTACTCCTATTTAAATGAGAGATTGCAACTATTACCGATAGCCGCAACTTGTTCCATCCCTGTACACTTTTCTACCCACCACTTCTCGCGGTCATTCCTCAGACTCCTAATGAGCTGGAGTTTAAGGGATTCACGCGCTGTGTCGTATTTTGAATCCGAAGGAATGGCTTTGCAGACGTCCAGCAGGGCAACCGAGGTCGGGGAGATCCATAGTTTTGATTTTATCGTGTTTTGATTAACATTTGGATTGCGGCTGTTCAGTGTTCACTGAGTCCTCCGGCTGATGGTTAAGCTGAAAGGCGATCTGATAGTTCCCGTTCGAAAGTTGGTTCGCAACCATTGCTGACACTGCATTGTAAGCATCCCTTTTCCGTAGCTTTTCTGCGGTTGTTTACTAGGCGTAGGGAGAATCTCGCTCGTAGTAGAGCATGGTCCGTGTCCACGGGTGTTGACCAGTAGGAGCGGCAGTCCTTAATGAATCCACGCCAGTGGTGGCTGATGGCGATGTGATCGATTTGAGTCCAGCACTGAAGAAGTTGGCGGTCTTCATGTAAGGCGAAGGCGTTTTTTGTGCGAGAAGTTCGTGCTTAACAGAAACAGTCCGTGGTCAGCAAAAAGTTGGAGTGGACGTTCTCCGTTGTCAGTCCTGTTGTCTGGGATTGCATGTGAACCACCAAATAACTTCTCTGATTCCTCCAGGGATCCCACTTGAGCATTGAAGTCTCCAGCGACTACCACAATGTCCGTTGACCGAGCACTTTGGAGCAGTTGAGAGAGGTCCTTGTAGAATTCATCCCTCGTTTCTGGAGAACTGCAATCTGTCGGTGCATACGCGGATACGACGAATAAACATCAACGCTTCGTTCCGTAGCTGTTGACGCGTATTGAACCATCCAGACGTACGGCTCAAAGTCGGCTGTTAACCGGGATCCAATCGAGAATTGAACGCTGGACCTTAACACTTGGCGCAGTCAAAACACCAGCAACACCGCGAGCTTCAGATGCCGAATCGAGAGTGAAGCGTAACGATGAGGTTGGATCTGGGGAATGCAAGGTGATTGAAGTAAGGTCTTGTATGCTTGTTTCGGAGACAGCATACGTCTAAATGGAAGGTTTCAAGGGTTCTAGCTAAAACGGCTTGTTGACCGATCTGGTAGAGTGTGCGGACATTGAGAGCAGCTAAGTGAAAAGGAGATTTTGGTTTAAAAAATCTGATAGCCTCTGAGTGGTTGACGCTGAGTGATATGCGATGAGAATCGCAAACAGGAGGCACCCGGGAATGTTCGGGATTGAGAAGAAGGACTAGACAGATGGGAAGGATGATTTTCCAAATGGGTACCTAGGACGGCATACTTCGCGGCAGCCCACACCGACGAAGAGGGCTTTTCTTTGGGAACCCTAACCGTAGCCTTCGACTCAAAAGTTGGACCCACAAGGCAGTGGGGTGTAAATCCAACGCGGAAGCGTGAACGGAGCACCCGTGTGAGAGCTTCTAGAGACCTGTCGCGCAAAGCCTTTGAATTTCGATTAATTGTGTTGTTCGCTGGTGCGTTGATTGTCGGTCCGTCCACCTAGCGGGTTTTTTGACCGGTAATCTGCCCCTCACCGTGTTTATTTGCTGGAGTGACCTCTCCAGGGGCCTGAGTATATGGTCAAGGGAAACCAGGAGGTGCCTAAGCAGCTGGCTTTGTGAGACTGAGCTTTGTCTGGTCTCTACCCGTTGACCTTCCAGGCACGATTGGATCTACGGCTGTGAAAAGCCATCTTGTGTAGCTCGCAGGGTCATTGAGGCACGCAAGCCATCACACCACGTCAAGGTGCAGTCTCGGTAGTGGTGCATTAGAGTTTGTACGAGGAACGAAGCCAGTTTGAATGCAGAGTGAGGTTGGAGGAGTAAAACGGCTGGTTCCGGTTGACACAGTAGTGCTGAGACAGATGTCGTAGACGATAGCGGCGAGCTACAAGGTGGTTCTACGTGGAACCATTTGAGATAGAACGTACATGATGAGTGTGTGCGTCTGAGACATGCACGAATGCATGATTCTATGGTTACATTGTGGGAGTCGTACTACCTGGTTGCCGTGGCCGACGTAGAATGTTTTCTTAGGGGACGCTACCCGGAGGAAGTGGGTTGGAGTATGGAATCCACGATCCCCTGGGAGCCGATGACTTGCTGTCCAGTTCATACGCCTTTCGGATGTGGCGAACTATCCAGGGTACCCTGATTGCCCTTGAGTCGCACATTTGCCGGTGAGTCTCAGTGGTCAGCACCACAGGTGACCTTCGGAAACCTGTTCGATGGTGCTGAGGATTGAGGTCGCTGTA